TACATTATGTTGTGCTGTCAATTTCAACGTTTTTATTTTTCTTTTTTATTAATTTTATTTATCCGGTTAAAGGACGTAATTATGATGATTTTTCCGTTTAAAAAAGTAGTGTAGGCTTTGATACAAATTTTTTCAAATAAACAGCATATATTATTTAAATTTTTACAAAAAATGATCTAATTATATTAATGTAACTTAACTTTGGAAGAGACGCTACGGAACAGCGGGCAGCATTACACCTCACAGTGCTCACACTACTCGTGTCTGACACCCCTCCTCTCTCCCCCTCGTCTAAAAAGATTTTTACATCGAAGAGCCACCTACCACTTAATTGTTGTAACGCATTTTGGAACACGTGCAGAATATCACTGTTATAAATAGGCACGTCACTACTATTGGGTGACTCGGCATTCTGCACGCTCGATTCTTCACTGCTATTAGGTCGCTCAGCGTTCTGCACGCTCGACTCTACAATGTTATCAGGTGGCACAGCATTCTGCACGCTCGGTTCTTCACTGCTATAAGGTGGCACAGCGTTCTGCACGCTCGATTCTTCACTGTTATTAGGTGGCTCAGCGTCCTGCACGCTCGATTCTTCATTGTTATTAGGTGGCTCAGCGTTCTGCACGCTCGATTCTTCACTGTTATTTGGTGGCTCAGAATTTTGCAACAACATCGATATAGCAGTGAAGTAATATATAAACATAGGCTGTACTTCATCGCAATCATTGGCATTCACCATTGACATTATTAAAATTTACTATAATAAATAAAAGAATTTTCAACTTCTATTTTAGAGACCTCTTACTGATGAGATTCAAATCTTGTTATATCCATGATAAGTAACGACTGTAATAAATCTTACCTCCATCTTTTCAACTGGAGACCTTTATTGATTCGTGGTGATGAAATGCACAGTTTTTTTCGATTTCTTGTGAGAGAAACGCATGTTGTCGCCAGCGTTCTAGTACACGAACAATGGAAGGTTGTAATCTAAACGTGCTAGCATTTTAACACCAGCAAGCCAGGAGGTAAGGGGGTAAGGAGGCTGTCCCTCTACCCCCAAGGGAGAGGGTAGACGAGAACTATGCACGCGACCCTGATTTATGACCGTCGAGGAAGGTATGACTGATTTATGACGACAACTTTTACATGTTCAGGGCCAGCTTTCAAAGAAAATGGGAAATCTACGATTCAGGAGTGATGAAAAAGTATTTTGTTCGAATATTTCTACGAAATAGAGGGTGTTCCAAACGTGACTTTAATTCCGATCAATAGAGAATAAATAGTACTACTTCCTCATGTCTCTAAAATTTAGGTAAGTCGCATCACTCGCATGTACTATAATGAACATCGATGTGCAACATTTTACTCTATCATAACTGATGTTATGAAAAATATACATATATTTTGTAACTGTCGGGAATTTGTAAATAAATAGCTGAATAAGCATGAAAAAAATCAGATTGATAGTTCATTTACGAGCGGAGTTATAACGACTATCCGTAGTGATAGATTCTCACAGGGATTCAGCCAAGCCTGCCTGATAGGGCTCACGGTTCTCAATTGCAACCTTAACATGTACACCGTCTGCGGAAGTGGCAATGTTAAAATACCTGGATTGTTATTCGATAAAAAAACGCAAAATAAAGTTCAAAGTAAAAACTCTCCAAACCTCAGAGTTGTAGGCAATATTTCACGCTTATAAATGTTTGATGAATTCAATTGTTTCTCTAGAAAGAGTGCGTATTCCTAATGTTTATTTTGCAGTGGTTTCCCAAAACGCAATTTCCTGGATATCAAGTAAAGAGATAAAAAACAAAAATATGTTCACTAATAATAGAGTCAAAGATATATATGATTTTCAGCAGGCCATGAAGGATGAACTTGATTTGGAATGCTCGTTCAAGTTCGTAAATTCTAATTTAAATCTATCAGACATGCTACCGCGGGGAGCTACTGATGAAGACTTTGATAAGAAATTCGATAGACTTATTTACGTGACAGACTTATGTCGACGGGGTGCATGCCGGAGGCCAGCTTTGCCATACCTCACACTTCGTTCATATTTCTTTCCATATGTAAGAACGCTTGAGTGCATAACGGCCTATGAAGTCAAGTGATCGAAGCCATAGCGCCGGATGTCCATAGCCACAAAATAAGCTTGCCAAAGGTAAACATGGCCATACTGCATCTGGCCAAACCTCATCTGGCCTAACCTCTTCAGGCCTAACCTATACGAGCTGCAACCTTTCTCCACCCAAAGCAAACCTGATCGGACCTAACCTAACATCATTGGCTGCAAGAAGTTGGAAAGGCGGTCCAAGTGTGCTGGTAGAGCCAGTCATTGGCTGCAAGAAGGTTGTGAGCCGGGACAGCGTGAATAGGTTAAGCCAGAAGAAGTTAGGCCGGATTAGGTCCATCAGATGGGGAACTGCCTGCTTAAAAGCGAGCATGCTTAAGCATTGGCTGAAGACCTACGGCGCTATTGTCTTTCGGCAGTGTAGCGCCTGTCTGGATTACGGAGTTCAAGCGTAGTCTGCGGCTTCTAGTTCTGAGGCTTAGTAAAGTTAATGCATGGTGAAGCTAGGCGTTGGCTCCAGGGCCTATTTAAAGAGTAAAATTTGTGGCCTACGGCTGCGCCCCCTTGTCGACTACCGAAGCTGACCAGGTTTAATTGTCATGCTAAGACCAGACGTTTCCGCATTTAGGTAGACCAAAAAGTTCACGTTAAGGAAGAAACCAAAATATTTTGCAGTACCATTAAATCAAAGTTTGTCCTCAGCCATGTCAGAGATTTAAATTTATTATTGTATGAATTCGGCGTGGTTAGCTCCCGAGGCAGACTCCCGATGTTAGCATTTGCCGTATGACGTAATGATTAAAATTTGAATATATAGCAAGAGTCAGGCCACAAAATGCTAACTGTCAAATGGCATCTAGAATGTAAACATTTGAACATTGGGGGCGTGATCTCAATTTTGAAAGCTCGGAAGAATCAATGCTTTTGGTTGCCTCGAGTCGAGGACGCCCACTATCAAAAGAGTGCTCAAAGTGTGTGTATATATATTGAAATAGGTGCAAATAAGGTGCATTTCGCGTGCATTCAAGTATCAGACGCCGGAAGACGTTCATACTTCATAGCGACAAAGTGAACATGATCAAGTCATTTGACAACGTGGTATTGGATTTTACTGACCATTTCCGATCCATGATCGGTAATCTTGCATGACATGATCCTGCATTAAAATTTGCCTGATAACGTTCACATGCCTTAAGAGTCATTCATCTTGAATAAGTTTTGACATGTCGATCCGTTCTTGTCTAACTTCCTCCATCCGTTCCACTAACAGGTTGAGATTCCCCACATAATGATGATGATAAACAGTTATAATTCCCTAACTATGAATAAAGCTGCAAAATTACTTAACAGTAGAACAACGTTTTGGAGCATTTTAGAGTCAAGTGTCAGCCCTTACGAAAAATAAACAAACTCGCTATCACGGTTCTCTACTCCGACTCTGCAGTCAAGTCACATATCCTGTCTATTTATTGCTTAACATAGCTCAGTTCTTCACAAATTTATATGAGTAATGTTTGATATTAAAATATAAACTGAAGTCAGAATTGCCTTTGCTTTATTCATTCCGAGTGGCGGTCGCCTCCATCAGTGATAAATTCGATCTACAGTTTTGTACCACTTGAATATCAGTGTCTTCAGAATATCCATACTCATCAGTCACTACTAGGTATATCTCAAAATCTTTCTGTGAACCTGGTTCTCTGTCCTGTATGTTGTACGAATGCAAAATCATTTTTATTCCGTTCGGTTTGTAATAATTAGGTTTAATTTTCTTAGGTACGTAGATTGTTGGACACAGTATTAGATTATTACCAGAATTTACACCATTTTAATCCAATTTATATCAGATTAAATATCAAATTCATGTTAAACTTATATTAAATATATATTGAAATTTGTTAAGTCTGTGTTTTATTTATATCGAATCTTTATCAAGTTGTGGCAATAAAAGTTCACATAAAATAATATGACAACGTCATCGGATTATATCAAATGCTGTAAAAGTGAGGTTTGCGAATTTGTTAAAATTCTAGCATAAAGTTGAGTTTGTGCAATTCGCGTTGGCAGTTGTTTATGCTAATATATATTGTGCCATTAATAATTAAAGTCCGTAATCGTTAAATACGCAGTAAAACCTTCACCTATTCTTGCTTTCTTCTCCCGTCCAACTTTCAACTCCTATTATAATGTATATTACAGTAATATCCTCTAAATTTCTGAACTTCAATTTCATTCATAGTAACATCATTTAGTCTCAACACGGGCATTTTAAAAACTCAGGTTAGTTAAATAGGAGTTGAATAGATTGGTTAAATATCACTGAAATTACCGCTTCATAAATTTTGCCAATAAAATTCATGATACTACTGATGAAAATTTTGTTTTCTCTCTCAAGATATCTGTAATTTTGTTGACCTGCTGTCGTCGCTCCTTTTCCCTCCATGTGACGTCAATCTTTTCGTCACGTCCGAGTTTCATTGCGCCACGTCCTCTGAGTCAGAGATGATAGAAACGACAAGATAATCGTGATAAGATAAATAGTTTTGGATGCTCAATAGTTGCAGCATGAATGTTTTTTGATTCGCGCAGTACATGACAAGGTGAGCCGCTGCAAACTTCGGCACAGGAACGAATCAGTGTTTATAAGAAGACCGTGGTATCAAATACATCATTTCTCCTCACTGACAAAAATATTCACTAATCTATGACCTTAATTCATTTATTTCACATTAATGTTTTGATTGTTGCGTTAAATTATTTTCAATCAATAATTTAAAAATATTTGAACCATATTTTGTTCATTACTGGATGTCGTTTGGCAACACATGACGGTACTCATAATAGGGAAGAATGTACCAGAACCTTCAATGATAACATATAATTGCGGATAATTAGAAGATCAGAGTGACTTGTACAGTTGGACTGTAGTGTAGAAATTCTTCAGTCCTTATTTGGTAATCAGATGCGCAAGTGCCATGAGTGCAAACAACGCGTGCTGTGTCATCCGCTACACGGCCGTTGGGAAGGCCACAGTTGTCCTCACCTCGGTCAGTTTTTGCAAGATACGAAAACAGTGAACATAAGGTAGAATGATTTTTGATAATGAACGAAGAGAATGATAATGAGATGAGTGAGAGTGATAATGAGATGAGTGAGAATGATAGTGGGCAGGGTGGCCCAGTGGTTAAAGTTCAGAGTACCAGGTTTTGGAGCAGAGAGGTGCGGGTTCGATCCCAGCTCTGTGCGCCAGTTTCTGGTCAGAATCGGCGAGGAGGCCGGGCGGTTAAGCACAGCAGAATTGTAGCAGTGAGTTGCGAGTTCGAGACCGCAAAATGCTGTGAATGTTCTGCGCTGTTAAGAATCGGCGACAGGCATACGGCCTAATAAACGCTGAAACCGCTATTATTATAATGGGATGAGTGAGATTGATAATGAGCGAAGAGAATGATAATGAGATGAGTGAGAATGATAATGAGATGAGTGAGAATGATAATGTAGTAAAACCTTCACCTATTCTTGCTTTCTTCTCCCGTCCAACTTTCAACTCCTATTATAATGTATATTACAGTAATATCCTCTAAATTTCTGAACTTCAATTTCATTCATAGTAACATCATTTAGTCTCAACACGGGCATTTTAAAAACTCAGGTTAGTTAAATAGGAGTTGAATAGATTGGTTAAATATCACTGAAATTACCGCTTCATAAATTTTGCCAATGAAATTCATGATACTACCATTGAAAATTTCGCTTTCTCTCTATGATATCTGCAATTTTGTGGGCCTGCTGTCGTTGCTCCTTTTCCTTCTGCGTCACGTCCACGTTTCATTGCGTTCATGCACGTCCACGTTTCATTGCGTCACGTCCACGTTTCATTGCGTCACGTCCTCGTTTCATTGCGTCACATCCACGTTTCTTTGAGTCACGTCCACTTTTTATTGCGTCACATCCTCTGAGTGAGAGATGATAGAAGCGACAAGCTAATCGTGATAAGATAAATAGTTTTGGATGCTCATTATAGTTGCATTGTAAATGTTTATTGATTTGCGCATTACATGACAAGGTGGACACTACACCACAGGAACGGTATCAGTGTCAATTGGAAGACCGTGGTATGAAATACATCATTTCTCCTCACTGACAAAAATGTTCGCTAATCTATGACATTAATTCATGATTTTGTCTACAATAATGTTTTGATTGTTGCATTTAATTATTTCCAACCAATAATTTAAAAATATTTACTCTACTCATAATAAGGAAGAATATACCCGAACCTGAATAACAACATATATTTAATCGTGGATAACTAGAAGATCAAAGTGACTTGTACAGTTAGACTCTAGTATCGGAATTCTTCAGTTCTTATTTGGCAATCAGTGCCAAATCCGCAAGTGCCATGAGTGCAAACAACGCGTGCTGCGTCATCCGTTACACGGCCGTTGGAAAGGCCGCAGTTGTCCTCACCTCGGTCAGTTTTTGCAAGATACGAAAACTGTGAACATAAAGTAGAATGATTTTTGATAGTGAGCGAAGAGAAAGATAATGAGATGAGCGAGAATGATAATGATATGAGTGAAGAATTACCTTCAAGAGTGTAAAGTAGGCTCTTAAAAAATTTTTTTCAAAGTTTCTTTTTCACAGTCAGTTCTTGGGCCGAGAGACTATATAGGAACTTCTGCTGTAGTTCTTTTACAAATAAATATAAATGTATTTGAATTTTAAAAATTTCTGAGAAATTAGTAGGAATACTTCGTATACATCCTACCTTAATTCAATTAAATCCTAATACATTACTTTTCAGATAGTCTCAGTTTACGCCTTCCTGCAGATTATGGCGCAAAATTGGTGCGAAATAAGTAAGAATTATTGATTCCAGATGTTGTCATTGTTGATTTGAAAATTCGAGCTGCACAATAATTAAAGCATATCTTGAATTTTGTGTCACTGAGATATTTCCCAATCAAATAAAGATGTGTAATTTAAACATACAGTAGGTAAACAATCAAGATAAAAATGGTTCTACATGGACATATAATTCTTGTTGTACTCTCAGGTGAATGGCGAACATTTCTGCTACTAGTCATAACTCTGAGCTCAGGGTACGCGGCCGGCGTGCTTTGCTACGGGGTGACGAAGGTAATAACTAATCAGGCCATGCTGGTAGATACATATATATGAGCAATTTGCTACGGAGTAACGAAATTAGTCGTTAATCAGGCCTTGCCAGTACAAATATATATGCAACTTACTAAGAAGTAACAAAGGTAATTACAAATCTCGCCATGCTAGTAGAAATATATAAGCAATTATACGTGGTAATTGCGGTTGTCACCTTGCGATAGCTTTATCCTTGACGCATGATCACTTCGCCGCCGTTCATTAACCGTCTTGATGACCATCATCTAAAATTAAATTAACTGATTTACAATTTTGCTTTGACTTTTCCTTTCTTAGTTTCCACTGCATTTAATTGTAAAACCTTATTCAACTTTAGGTACGTATAACTTTTAAAAAGCTTTTAACTTTAAAATTAATGTGTTTTTTTACCTGCTGTTTTTGATAAGTTGTACCTATATTATAACGTTAGAATTGTTTAACTGAATCCGGTTTTTGATCGCCTCTTCCGGTTTTCGGTCACGATTTATGTTTTATTCGCATTGTCGTTCAAGACCGGGGCGTTAATTCTCAGGTTAATGTTGGATTCAATTGGGTGTCGGTTACTTAATATAGGACGTGGTGACTCCTAAACACACTATAATTCATTTCATATCTCACTTTCTCTATTTATACGCAGGAGACGCCCAGCCTGCTCACGGTTTACTCCTGCATGTGTGTGGCGATATCACCGCTGTGTTTGCTCACTGAAGTTTACAGCCGTCACTCTGAAACTTGTTCTCCGAATGTCGTAGGGATGACCATCTCCTTCCTTCTGCTGCTGCTGTTAGCCGGCATCGTGTGGAGATGCCGTTTAATTATGGTCAATAGACGCGATCTTTCAATCATGTGTTGTCTTTCAGTATTGGCTAAAATGAGATAAATGATTAGAGGGTTTCTTTTCACACTTTCTACTTCAGAATTGGCCGTTAAGAGGCACTAGAATGTGGTGTACTCAGTTCCATTAGCCAGACAGTGGTGAGGCTAATGCCTTTACTTGTGATGGCATTAGCTCCTCTATAGTGATGTCAATGCTGGACCAACACTGACATTACAATATTACGGGTCTAAATAATACCAACCGACGGATCGAGCAATGTGCATGTAAAAAACAGAAATAACTCGTCAGAATGCGAACAAGAAGCCTCCAAATACCGACAGAAAGGCTCATTTCTACAAATGTTACAGGACCCCAGACAACCTAACATAACAATGAACATCTTTCAAAGTTATGATTGTGACTAGATATATAAGAAATGATTGTGCAGATTCATGTGTCTCTAAATTGCTCTCTTTTATTGAGCCGGGACATCGAGACGAGAAATGGCTTGGAAGAAAATACCGGGAAAACTCAAAATACTATTTGGCATAAAGTTAGATATCGGCAAAACGTTGTGTCCCCAAAGCTAGATGTTGTTTCCCGGATACTCCGACACGTTACGAGACAATTTATATATAAATTGACATGCCCTAACGATTTGAGGAAAAACGAAATATTTCATTGCGATACGAGACCGAGACATTCGTATTTACCGAGACCGAGACCGAGATCGCGCGTATTTAGGATTGACAAGTTAAATATTTTATTTTTAATGGGCAGTTGCGGCAATTTGGCGACATTAGGCTTCCATACAACTCGGCAGTTACGCTAATGCGTTGTATGGATGGCAGAATAATTATGCAGTTAGCTTTTCTCTCATCACGTATCATATAATGTATACAATTTGAATCATGGCGCCCAATGAAAGTCGGTAGTTCTGATTCAAAAGTCGGTACGCGGTCGAAAGTCGGTACTACGAAAAGTCGGTACTACGAAAAGTCGGTACTGATACCGAAAGTCGGTACTACGAGTTTCAAAAGTCGGTATCAGCGCGGGTCGGTGATCAAAGTCTAGAAGTCAACCGCTTTGGAAGCATTGTTTAGTTTACAAGATTGACCTTAACTATGTTTTTCTTTTATACTTTTAGAATGTTGAAAACAAACAAAATTTTACATGAAAATTTTTGGAAAAGTTGTCATATGACTCGTTAAATACCATTAAAAAATATAATTTTAGGAAACTTGTGAAGCTCCTTTATATGCCCAGGACATCTCCTCCCGTGTCTGTCTCTTTCCGAATTTTCATCGGATGTTGATTTTAATGATTTCCTTCGGAAAATGTTTTGCTTGTTATTTCCTCTATCGCAAATTTAGGAGCGTCTGATCTCGAATAAAGAAATAATGACGAGAAATGATAATTCAATGAGTTATGTTTATTTCGCCGACTTCGTGAATTTTTCTTTCTTACAAACGAACTTGCAGTACAAAAACTTTTTCAATGTAAACTCAATAAAATGATTTCCAATTTTTAAACATTCATTTGATTAGTTCAATAACGGAATTGCCGACAGGCATATTTTTCATGAATTCGTTCTACAGGTCAAAGTCACGTCGACTACCAATTCGGCACCAGAATCCCCACCGGCAGTCACAGAATCTTCCACTTCCACGGACGGGGATAGAATTGGAGATGATCCCCCGTCGTACAGAGACGTTGCGCACCGGCCACCCCCGGAGGAATCTTCGTCTGTCTTCACAGTTCCTCTGCCTCACGAGAGTTATAAGCCTTTTTCATACGGGAGTTTGAACACACTTCCCCCGGCCTACCACTTGGCCGTGTCTCAAATGTCCTACGAAACAAATACATCTCCGAGTGACGTCATACTCCGTCCGTCAGACATCACTCTTCCCTCGCAAGCTCCTGCAGCCGGAAATCTTACGACTCTCTTCAACAGTTCAGAGTCGCCGCAGTCTGCCATACATGTTCAAAACACATGGCTTTAGCATATTGATATTCGTTGCTGTTTGACAGTGCAAATAATTTTGCATTGAGATGCCGGCTTGTTCAACAATTAATTTTTAAGCGCATTTTATCATTTATGGAAAAAATTACCTATTGTGCTCGTCATGTCCGTCTGTCTGTCCGTGACTTCACGTTTTCGTTGACGAGAAAATGCGCTCTCTGCCACTCACTGCAGTGAGTACTGAGTTATATTTTTTCTTATAATAACTGTAAAAGTTCGGTATCGCCTATGAAGAGTCAAGACATCATTTGTATCATGGTTAAGAATTTATTGTTATGGTTGCACGTCCATAGGCATCGTTATAAACAGAAGCTACAAACTAACTTATGCTTGGAAAGTTCAACGCTGCGGTTGCGTTGATTTCAGAATAATATATATAATGGCCAATAAGATTTTTTAAATTTACTTAATATTTGATGCGCCTGGTATCTCATCATTTTAAGCATAGACGGTGCAATTAAAATTTTTTCATATCAGGCAAAGATGTTTTAATTATATTTGCTGGGTGATAATTCAATGTGTCAAGCATTTGCCTTCAAAAAATATCATCTTTTACTGCATTAGAGTGAACGAGATTTAATTCATCATTCGAATCTCATTGTTGTGTAAGAGACTGTTTAAATGTTAATTCTGTATGTCAGTATGAGTTACAACGTAAGTTTTGAATATAATTTAAGGACAAATTCTAAAAGTTGCAAATAGAATATTAATTTGAGATGTTTTAACAATGTCATTCATGTGAGCGACTGCAACGTTTCAAGTTTAATGTCTTTATGATGAAAATGTTAAGTTTTTTAAAATATAATCTCTCAATTTTAAATTTCATTACCGTCCAAGAACACCAATTGATTGAGTCGGGTTTCAAGAGTTTAAATTAGGTTCTGTGAGAAATTTAACATTTCTCACCGAGAATTACATAAACATCAGATGATTTAATTCTTGCGCGCAGTGCGGGCGTCTTTTTTTTTCCAGCTGTGCGGACAAGTTGACGTTGGGTTCTGCGCGAGCAAAATCGAGAGATTCAATTTTAAGCAGTTCCTAGCGGTGGTCGGTTCCTTCAGTGACCAATTCGAACTACAAATTTTGTACCGCCTGCCAATCAGTGTCATCATGTTCATCAATCATTAAGTATTTCTCAAAACTTCCTATAAACCTGGTTCTCTGTTCCATATTTTGTGTGAACGCCGTGTCGTTTTCGTTTTGTTTGGTTGCATTAACTGTGCTTATTTTTTTGCTCCTGTAGGAAGTTGGACATCATGACTACCACAAGTTGTATATATTTTAAGCAAATTATATCAAATTTCTATATCAAATTTATTTCATATTTATTTCAGAAATATATCAAATTTATATCAGACTTATATCAAATTTGTATCAAATTTATATCAAACTATATATCAAATCCATATTATATTGTGTCAAATCTGTATTAAATTATATTATATCTTTATGAAATAAATCTATTTACAAGAAATGGGCATGTGCAATTTGCGTCGGCAGTTTATTATACTGTTACGGTTTTTTGCCATCCTAAATTAAGTCTTTATTCTTGTTTCAACACGCAGTAAAACCTCTAACTATTCTTACTGTCTTCTTCCGTCCAACTTCCTGCTCCTCCTACTGATTTCCTCTGAATTTCTAAAATTAAATTCTTCATTCACTTCATCAAATAGAATTCTTCATCAATTCACTGGGCGTTAAAAACCTCAGGTTGGTTTAATGTGTTGATATCTTTGTACCAATTCTGAAATTATCGTGTCGTTAGTTTTGCCTGATCAATCTTTAATTTAGGCAAGTCTGACACAATTTATATTTCTTTCTAGTATCAACATTCAAGTTTCGGGTCCTGCAGTGGATGCGCCTTTTCCCATTGCGACGTCATTTCTTTTACGTCACGTGGACGTTGTCTGGCGTCATGATTACTTCACTGCGCTAAGGAGACTTGACCTGAAGACCTCGTATTTTGCCCCGCTCGGAACTAAGCCTGCCTTGGAACCAAAACCATCCTAACTTCTGCGCTGTTACCAGAAGAGCAGTTTGCTGCCTTTTAATGAATTCAAAATAAATGAAATCTTAACTATATGTGGATGCGCCGTTGCTGCTTCCTCCCAAA